TTATTTATTTGTTCAACATTTTAATATATACGAAAAAATTTTAAAGTTCAAAAATAAAAAAATCTGAATATAATTATAAAATAAAAAAATTGTCTGTGTGAAATTTTTTTGTTTTTGTCATGGTTTTAAGAACATTTATTGATGATTTATTATTGTAATTATTAAAACAATAAATCACCTTCTATAGGAAAACAGAATTTTTTTTTTAAATAAATCAACATATATTTCTAGTTTGCATTAAAAGTTAAATATGATATGGAACAACACATTAAAACATTTAACATTTCTTTCAATTATTTTTATTAAATGATAATATTATTAAATCAAAAACTATAAAAAATTGAGCAGAAAAAGTATTTTTCACTTATTGTCAGTGTTCATAAACTATTGTAACGTAAAATTAATTGAAATAAATTTATACAAATAAAAGTTACTCAACCTCAAATTAAATTCATTTAAAATTCGTTTAAAGTGTTCAACTATAGTTTCATATTATCATCACCTGTTTTAAAATTTAATCAAATACTACTAATTTCGAGTTTCATTTAACATTATCAATTACAAAAGTCATTTTTCTTGTCGAATTTGCATTCATTATTAATGTAGTATCTTTCAACTTTAACATTTTTATATAAAGAAATAAAATAAGAATAAAACAATACTTAGGAATGAAAGATGAAAGGTAAATTCAAAATTAAGTAAATTATCACAATTTTTAAATAACAAAGTTATAAATTCATTTTATAATAACTAATTTCGTTTGTAATAAATTTAGAATAAAAATATCAAATCAAACAAATACTTTACAGTCTAATCAAAAGTTAAACTAAATTATCATTGTAAACAACTATTTTGATTTAAATAGCAAACTTAACAATTCACAATAACTTGGATGAATGATATGATTAATCAATAAGCCAACTATACATAGATATGCACAGGTAACACGGAGAACAAAAGTGACAGCAGTGTTTTAAAATAGTTATAGAAGTATAAACAAATTTTTAGTAAGTATAAGAGATTGACAAGTAGCCTAACTGCAGTAAAAGCATTTCGCAATTTTGCAAAATATAAAGTAAAACGTGAGAATTTATTATCAATCAGGCCGGGCGGTAAAAACTATATATTACGATCTTTCCCTTCTATCCATAACTACTTTTTTACGATATCTTTACGAGAGATGAAAATTTAATTTGTTACGAAAAAATAAATATTACAGTATATTGTTTTATGCAAAATACTTACAGGTAATGTTTATTATCTAAATTATAGTATCATCTGCTCAAGAATACGAGAATAACGTTATTAGTACAGTCGTCCTAATTTGTTCGCTGATTTGCTTACATAGAGAAATTTTCTTGAAAATAATTGTAATTTTTTCAATAACATTTTACAACAAAGAAGCGAATACTCTATACGAAAAGAGATCACCAATATAGTGGAGCTCATTTCCGTGGAATAAAATTTATCTCAAAGAAATAGATCAACAGAATTTATAATATTCCTAATTAGGTTCATTCATATAACACTAGTGTAACCGTGGTCTAAAAGTTTGGTATTACAGTAGAACCCCTATAATTACGGTCCCTATAATTACGATTCCTATAAAACTGCGAAAAAATTGTGATTGTATCCGTAAAAAAAGGTTAAAAAAACTCCTATAATTACGTAAAACATCATCAGGCAGCCAAACTACTTTCCCGCCGTCCATAGCGCCACGCTACGGAGAGATTACTATCGTCTATACAGTATTATATATAAATTATATATAAATTAGGTACCGTACATATAATTACAGTGGAACCTCGGTATACGACCTTAATCCGTTCCTGATGTTTGGACTTATACCAAATTGGACGTATACCAAACCAACCTTTCCCATAAGAAGTAATGTAAAAATAATTAATCCATTCTCATGTGAAAAAAAATGGCTGGCTTTAACACCTCGCTTTCCTGGCTAGTTCCTGCTTGATTTTTCATGAGATCAGCATGTATCATTTTAGCTTTCTCGCAAATAATTGCTTCTGATACGCTGTCGCCAGCACACTGTTTTTCAGTTATCCAAAGCAAAAGCAATTTCTCAACATGATCTAATGTCTTTGATCTCTGTTTAGAAATTGATTTAACCCCTTTCGCAACGTTAACAGATTTAATAATGTCTTTATTTTTCACGATTGTCGATATTGTCATTCTCGGAATACGGTATGCAACAGTTAAAATCTCGAACATACATGCCACCTTCATATTTCTCAACAATTTCTTTTATCAGTTCCATTGTGATCCTAGTCATTTTATTAGTTTTCTGTTGCCTTTTTGCAATTCATGATTAATAAAAATAATAAAATTTTACTTACAAATTAAAATCAGAAGAAATTTAACAAAGTTATAAACCGTTGCACTGCAAATGTCTAGTCTGGTCTAGTACACCGATAGTGCTACTTGTTCATNTGACCTTGAAAACAGCTGGTGTCGTATTTCCCGGGACATTCTCATAAACGTCTCGGGAGGAGAAGGGTTTAAAGTAGGGTGATTAAAAACTAAGCCTATATTTTTAAATATTTTTAAAAAATTATAATTTTTATTGCGATTTCCGACCCCCCCTAATTAATTAAACATATATATAATAAAATCTATTAATTAAAAAAATTAAAAAACTATCGGAGGTCGTTTTTGACATCAGAAACTAGCTTTAAATAACTTTATGGAAGGAAAATCGGTGCACAACAACTTTAGAACGATGAAAT